TGCAGCCCATGGCCGGCATGCGTACAAAATTTAAGGAAAATCTGAGCGCCGAACTTCTAACACTTCTTTTGCTATTGTCAGACCGAAATTCTCGAAAAATAGATGAAATTGTCTGCTCACAATTAATCAGAAAAAATCTCAATTTTTTTGATTTACCCCTGGAGTCCATAGAGACCAATTACTCGACAATTTAGGTCGTATCCGGCTAAACTATCTCACAGGATTACACTCCGCGTCTGAACCAATTTCCCAACCCCCTACGCGCCTTATTAATCTGTGTACGTTCTGAAGCCGATTTACAAAAGAAACTTATGAATAGATCCGATTTCGCCGGTAGCAACTAGTCTTCCCTCTTTTGTTTTGTGTTGAGAAATTTTTATTGCCCCAAGGTACTCTTTTTTTTCTCCCTCTTTTATCCGCAGGGATTTGGTCGCGGTCCTTTCAAGAATCCGGAAAACGTTGGTTATGGAAATTTATAAACGCTCCGCAAACAGTTCCTTTTCCGTTGACGCAACAAAGTCGATGGTCGACGTAGAGTCGTATTTCGACACATGTTTAAAACCGTTCAATTTCTGTTTCCAAGAGGCCAATGAATCGCGTCACGACTTTTCGGGTCGGCGACAGTTCGGGTGGGCGTAGGGCATAGAGTTAACTAAAAAACGGTTGTCGGAAGTGCCTATCGAGGCCTGGAAAGGCCATTGGATGGTAGGCGAAGGGTCGGCGAAGGCTTGGTGAAGGCTTTCTTGACTTTTAACTACATACAGTTAAAATTAAATAAAATTAAATAATCTTTTCAAAAATTGCGTACTTGTCTCTCGTAAGAAGTTACGGCAAGGGGGGACCAAGGTAAAATGTGTGGATTTTTACATTGTAAATTGTTGGAAAAGGTAGTTATAGTAATCTGGGGTGGGTCTGAGGTAAAATTCAAACTTGCGTATAAGCAAAGGTATCAATTTCATATTGCGACGCTTGGATTTCCTTTCAATTTGGCGCACGCATTATTTGTAGGCCTTTTATCAAATCCAGCAAATTTTAGCTAGCACTTTGCAAGCCAAGCCGAGATATTCTTAACGATCCTTTCAAGTGAAATCCTATTAAAAATGCTGAATCCATCAAATACACCATGTTTTCCGTTTACAAACAGAACGCCAGACTTTCAATCTTACTGTAAAAAAACTGTAACTCTCTATGTTCATTATTTCTCAATTATTCCGAGTGTGACCAATATTAATTGTCTGCTCGTTCCTTGTACGGAAAAAGTAACTTCTGAAAATTACTTTTTCCTCCTGCTGCTTACTTTTGCATCATTACAGTGAGATCAAGTCGATCATCAAAAGGAGACCCCTGAGGAGGTTGCTTGTGGACTTTGCTAGACTCATTCTTTAGTAAATGAGTTGAGGAACAAGTGCTCTTATCATTGGAGCTTCTACGTCTCGCTGGTAGAGGGCTTTTTGGGATTAAAGTTAGGCTTATACCATATCTTTCATTACACCAGGCTCGATGCTAGCAAAAAATGTGATTTTTGTCATCTTTTTGGTTCGTTATAGACAGTGTCTGTTCCACAAAGGTCGGTGTATAAATTCTTGCACTATAATCGGTGTTTATTTCTACCTCCCGCTCCCAGTCAGAGACATGTTGATGTTTACAAAGACTGTGAACTTAATGAGTCTAAACTCGGTCTCCGAATCCCTGTTTTTTGCGGCTCTTTTTTGTTTTCCCGCTCTCGCTTCGAGAGTTGTAGTAATTCACTGCCGAAACTGGTAAATGAACGAAAAAAAGGAAATCATTTTTGACTCCCTCATTTCTGCAAAAATTTAATGGATGGAAAAACAAATTTTTAACGCAGATTTGAAGCCTTTTTTCTCTGGGTTTGAGCTTTAAAATCTCGGTTTTACTTTATCAAAATGATGATTTTTCAATTCCAAAAAAGTTCGTAATTTTCCCAAGTAATTAATTTCGCGTGAAAACCGAGGAATTCCAGAAATCCAATCAGCCGGAGAAGCGATCAGGTAGAACGAAGAGCTTTCCCTTTCATTGTATCCTATAAAAATTTTTATCAGCTTTTCCACCGACACCTTGGGAAGGGATAAACTCCATTCAGAGCCTTACCAAGCGAGGTGCCGCGAATTTAACAAGATTTTTCCGCAATGTACAAGGCTTGCAATATGCCAGAATTTTGTAAGATGCAAGTAATTGTTGTCATTTCTCCGTTCAGAACAAGCTTTATCCCGTCTCGAGCTGCACTTTGCAGAATAAAACGTTTGATGTTTACGAAAAGGTGGTTGAGTCTCATGGGCGAAAATTTTTTGAGTCTACCGGGAACCGGCTACAGTGGTGGTGGACCTGATCCATTGTCAAAAAACGTACCATATTGCATCCGAGAAGTATCTAAAACGCAGCAGAATAACTCTGGAGGCATTTTGATGCATTTTTGATACTTCCCGTATGCAAAATGGTGCGGTTTTTACCATTAGATCAGATCTACCACTGTGCTTTTTAGACATGCTTTCGGAGTTTTTTTTCACTTGGAGAGGGAGGTATTTTGCGACATTTTTGATACTTCACGGATGCAAAATGGTACGTTTTTTGCCACTGGATCAGGTCTGTCACTGTAATGTGAACTCCGAAATTTTAGCTCGCTCTTTGCATTTGCAGCCGAAACTTTCGGTGGCCGTTGTGTCCGGGAGAGTACGCGAAACAGGAAGATCGGTCAGAGAGAAAATATAATACTTTCTGGCTATATCCTTGGCCTAGTATTTATTTCCTCTCCAACGACCTTCGTACTACAAATCACTACTAAAAGGAGTTTAATTTTTGTTTCCTTTCGTTATACAGAAATTGAACTCTACTATAGTAGCTGTACTTCTTTCACTTTCTAATTTCTCTCTCCCCTCAGCTAATTCGCGTCGCATAAAATTACCTTGTTTTCGAACCCGTTAACGACAGTTTTATCACCGATTTTTTTCACTCGTCGATGGAAACCCCCAACGGATCTTCCCGAAAGGCGAGAATTTCCATTGTTTCGTTGCTCTGCTCTACTTTTTAAAACAATGAAAATCCGAGTAATAGTTTTTTCTCTCCCCTCCCATTTCTTTGGTTTTGTATAATACCATTCATTTGTTCAGGTTTCTAATGTAAATTTACGCTTTTTTGGAGCCCTCCGACTGTACAGGGAGGTAATTCCTTTCTTAGCTTACTTATTATTATTCAAGAGGATATTTGAAAATCAAAGTTTCTGTACGATTTTCAGTATGAAGAAGGGGAAAAAACTCGGGGTTTTTGATTGCCTTTTAGTTGTCGCGAACTGCAGTTCAAATTAGACTAATGTTTAGTTTCTGGAGTAATTCGCTGTAATTTCCGGAGGGAATTTTTCATTTTTTCGAGGTTAGAGTGGTCGAGGCCAAAAGTACAATCTTATTTTGCGTGTATAATAATTTCCGACGCCAAAGCTCGGTTTTATAAATGTGGCAAAATGCTTCCCTCTCCAAGCGAAAAAACTTCATTTTGACGGGCGCGCCTCAAAAAAAGCGGGCGCAATATTGAAAATGGATTTTTTAACTTGGAGAGGGAGGCATTTTGCCACATTTTTTGATGCTTCCTGGATGCAAAATGGTATATTTTTTGCCATTGGATCAGGTCCCCCACTGTATTTACAATGTTCTGAAAAATCCTTTGGGCAAAATCTGGGGTCGCACCTTAGCCCCACTCCTACAAGTTTTACCCCCCCCCCCCCCCCCGCACTCTTCCTGATTAGCTCATAAAGCTCTCTCTGACTCCCTTATCATCCCTTTTCACACCCATTTTTCATGATTCACAAATCACCTTGATTTTTTGAAATTTCGTTTCAATAATAAGTTATGATTTATTCGCTTGAAACTCGCTCAATTTCGCAGCTGCAAAAGATTGATCCGGGCCCCAGAAACGTCTCTCCTCCCCGCTTTTTGCTGAAGGTGTATTTTTCGATTGTTTGTTCTTCGAGGGTAAACACAACAAAAGTTGTGTGAGGTCGGAGACGTTCAGTATCAAATAAACTTTCCCTAACGGTCCACAAAAAAAGTTTAGAAGTCTTCAGCCATAAAAGGACAAAAGGGTTATTTATTTGGGGGTGAAAGTAAAAAGCCTCAAGTTTATTAGCGCTGTTTGATTTTGAACGGAGATATGATTACGGTAATGTTTAAAAATGCTAAAATATAGAGGGATTTGCAACTTGAGATCAATGTAAATTCTCCTCGAACCCTCAAAATCATCGTTTCAAACTTTCGACCTTCTAGAATCTGACCTAATCCCTCTCCAGTTAAAGAATCCAAGCTCATCAAATCGCTTCGAATCTAATTCGAATTTCAAAACTTCTTCGAACCCGATGACATTATTATACATAAGCCCGGGGATTTCTCGCAATTCCCATAAACCTCAAAAAGAGAGCCCTCCAGCAATTCTTTGACGATTTTGAACCAATTTTGTGGATTTAATTTTTTTTTCATCTCTTCGTTAACGTGTTTCATCTTCTCTCCTTTCTCATCCCTTGTCGCCATCCCCCCATCCCACGACGACACAAAATTAACGGGACGGTCATTTGACAGTGTTTTAATAGTAATAGAAAAGTCGGGGGATGGTAAAACAAGTCTTCGGGGGGAAAGATGTCTTGCGCAATGTTTAGAGTGTTGACAACTGTTTGTAGGGGTCGTGAGGGAGCTTTCGGTTGCGTTCCTCAAGTCCGAGTTTATTCATTATTTAGCCCAAATACGGATTGTTTTCGCTTTGGGGTTCAAGAAGCTGGAAAATTTCAAAGACTTGCATTTCAACGCATTTTTTGTGGCAAATACAAAAGACTATCCATATTTGATCATAATAAAAACGAAACTCGGATTTTTACCACGGTTATGGTCCACAATAAACCATTTTCCCTGTACCATCAGATATCCTAGGGCCTGTTTTTACATCACTTCCAAATTAGTCATCCTACCAAAATCTTTTACAGATTCTGATGGCATAAACCAGTTATGTATCACAGCGACTACTCCACTCGACCGGCTACTGCAGCCGAACTTTTGGAGGCATCCAAGAAGCTATATGTCCAAACAGAATTCCTGAAACGGCATAGAGTCGATCCGAATGCGCCGAGGATCTTCAAAACACCCTCGGAAGAGGAGCTCGAGGGAATGTACCAAAACGCCGACGACTTTACAGTGGTCGATATTAGGCCTTCAAACGGGATGATGTTTTGTGTTGCGTCGAGGCCGACAAAGAGTGGTGCGAGACAAACGGAAGTTCTGCGGAATAGTGTCAACAGTGCGTTTCAGCCGTTGCATAAGCCGCCGCCAAGACCACCAAAGAGCGAACAGCTGAAAATGAAGTGAGTTTTCACAAGGAATCCGCTAGATACTGTGGGGAACCTGTTCCAGTGGTAAAAAACGTACCATTTTGCATCCGGAAAGTACCAAAAATGTGGCAAAATGCTTCCCTCTCCAAGTGAAAAAAACTCCGGTTTCCCTCACTTTTTTATGAGGGAAAGCCCTTCAAAACGGAGTATTTACACTTGGAGACGGAAGCATTTTGCCACATTTTTGATGCTTCCAGGATGCAAAATGGTACGTTTTTTGCCGCTGGATCAGGTACCTCACTGTATAATCAAACTCCTTGAGTCATAAATATATAAATTTACTTTCAGGCTCTCCGCTTTCCAATCAGACTCGAATTCTCGAAAGGAGAACGCTCCCTTGCCGAATTATGAGGAATTAACGCTCCAGCGACGTAAAAAAGCGGCAGAATCCCAGAAACCTCGGCCGCAACCTCCTCCACGACCTTCCCTAATGAGCTCTCGAGATGAACTACAAACCCGGATTGAATCCCGGCCAGCACCTCAACCCCGCCGTCGGCAAACTACAACTTTCTTCGGGGCAATCGACACATATCCCGAGATGACGCAAAGCACATACATAGACCGACCATCCAGCCAAATGGTCGAAAGATCCACCTCGACCACAAATCTGACCAAAAGCACGCCCGATCTAACGGTGGATGTATCGCCAGCAACGCCGTCTGTTACACCCACAACGCAAGTCGACTCGTCGTATTTGAGTAACGGCACAAGCTCAAGTCAACAAACGTCGGCTAGGAGTATTAACTCGCCGGATTCGGGAGCTTCGAGTTGGAAACCACCGGTTACGGCAAAATTGAGCAAAATGATCGAGATGAAGAAACCACCTTTACAGCAAACGGCATCGCTGAAACCGCAAGATTCAGCAGCAAAGTAAGCGGTTCTTCTATCTCTCCCAACCTAGACAGCCCGTTATTTTCTACATCAACATCCTCATATTTAATTTTTCAGACCTCCGGCGATCCCTAGCTCATCGTTGCGACGCAGTATAAGCTCCAAAGCAGTCGACTCAAAACTGCCAGGAACTTCGGTGAATTTGAAGGTTGTCGACAACGATTTCGAAGAGCGAGTTCAACGTTGGGAGAGAAGGCGAACGGTCGGGAACAACCTAGGTATAGCGACAATTACGGCGGCACCTGGCCTCACAACTAGTTGGATGGAAATGCCAAGCACTCAGGATGTCGAGGAGCTCTTTGATTCACAGGTAGGTATATAAAACTAGGTTATTAAGATAGGTAAATACCTTGAAATCCAACTAATTTGAATACGAAAATTTTTAAATATATTTCAGGGGGTTGATCCCACTCTACTCGCCCATTCCCCACCAACCCCATCTAGCGATATCCCCTCGGACTTCACCTCTATCACGGCCCAAAAGGAACGTCAAGACAGCCCGGACGAAGAGACCGTCCTTTACTCGGTCACCTGCACCACTCAAGCCCCTCCAGAACGACCGGTTTCGTTGATGGAGAAGAACGCGCGCGTTCTACGCTGGATACACGGCTGCTCTATGGCAACAAATTGCTAATTCTTTTGGTAAAACCCTTGTTAACTTGTTACCCCACGCGCAACATGGTAATCTTGCTTTATATCATCGTTCTGTTGTAATAACGCCTATCATCGCCGCATCATTTTCAAGTACATAGTCTTTTCTTTTTGAACCGGTATTATTTGTTTGTTGTATTGTCTAAAGTCAAAAAATAAGTGCAACTGTATAGAAAAACGAATAAATTTGTGAACTTTTCGACATAGACGGGTGATATTTCGGTTTCAAAAGATCCGTTTTGGACTGCTACACATAAAAGTACAATTGCAAAATGTCGAAGTGCCAAAAAATTAATTTTTGAACACTAAAAAAAGTAAACATTGCATCGTTCTCGTGAGTTTCTCCATAAAAGATATTTAGACAATAGAGATCATGCTTCTGAAGGAAATAATATTTTGACATGTACCACAAAGCCATCCCCATAAAAACGCAGATTTTACACCTCAATTACACCGACAAACGTTACATCAAACAGCTGAAAAACCCCCCAAGCTTTTCAAAAAATCATTTATGAATTATAATCCACGCCCTCAGTCGATGCAATGGGTTATCACCACGGAGGATCTGACCGCACTAGTTCATAACATCATCGACGGGATTTATATCCAATTCCGTAAACAAGTACAATTTCAATCGTTTTTGGGGTCCTTATCATTTCCTTCGCCTGCGAAATGGGGAGAAAAAGCAGCGATAGAGAGAAAAGGGCGCGCTCTCTTTTCATCTCTTTCTTTCTCTGGCGGCACAAAATAGCATGCAAAAAATGTGCGTCCTTGTTTTGCGTGAAGAAAGAGGAGCGAAGGAAATTGGGGAATTTGGGAAATTTTGGGCCGATTTTTTCCCGGAAAAGAGCAATTTTCGTGGTAAATGCACTGTAGAAAAATTATTAAATCTGAAATTTTTCAATTTTTGAGAAAAAAATCGCCGTTTTTCATTAAAAAATTTAAAATTTCCCTCAAAATATCTCAAAATCGCCCTTGAAAAATTTGAATAAAAAACCACAAAAAAACAAAAACATCGTTTTTGGAAGTCTTTCTCTCATTCAAGAACCCTAACCGTCTCCAGATCGGTCGATTTCTCTAATTTCTGAAAAATGAACGATGGAAAACCGGGAGATCCGCTCGCTTCGCGGAGACATGTCAAGATTTTGTCCAGTGCGTCCGAAGTGAGTTTGGAATTTCCGGCTACAGTTTCTTAGATGCCAATAAATCGCGACAATTCCTCGGTCGGCTCCATTGCCAGCGTTTATCAGCAAAATCTTTATGATGACGAATACTCGGCGGAGAAAATGCGTGCCAAAGGGTTCTGCAATAACGATGGCACACCGTGGATCGACTGCTTGTAAGTGGAAAAGCTACAATTAGAAGAAATATCGCAAAAATGAAAGGTTTCCACAAATTTTTTGAAAATTTTATCTTTTTTGGTGAAAAAAGATGATTTTTCGTATAAAATGTCTCCAAAGTGAAGATCGTTCGATCGCCAGATTTTCCTTCTACAATTTTGAAATAGATTTCAGTAGATAGCAACCGATTTTTCTTTAAAAAAATATCTTTTCCCCCATTTTAGGCCAAAAGATGAAGCCGCCTTGTTCAAAAAAGGCCTGGTCAACCGAGAGTGCAAACGACAGACCTACCGATGCAGTGATCCGCAATTTTTGGACACTGTCGAGATGCTCAATCAACATTTGATTGACGAACATGGCCGACCAGTCCCGAGAAAATGGTACATTTTTTTAATACATAAGGTCCAAAAAATTTTCAAAAAAATAAAAAAAAATTTGTACAAAAATGAAAATTTTTTCTAGTCCTGTGACTGCTGACGAGTTATTTGAGCGTGGATATACCGACAAGAGTGGCCAGTTCCACAAGGACAGTGCAGTTCACATCCTGGAGTGCTTCTTTGAGGAGATTCGGAACTACAGCAAAGGCCTTTTCCATCCGAATGGAGATGTTTACAGTAATGACACCACGGAGTAAGCTGTTTTTAAATCCTTTGAGGGAAAAATACAAGTTGCAAAAAAAATTTTTTTTGTTAAAAAGAATCTTGATCTCCAGATTTTGTCAAAAAATTTTCTTTTCTTCAGACCCTCCACTTTGACTATCCCGGAACGCCCCAAAAAATCGAGATCCAAGACCAATTCGGAACGCTCGGCCAAAAAATCCGTCTCCAAGTCCAAGAGAACGGACACTAGCAGTTCTGGAATCACCTGGGATTCCAATGTGGATTATTACGCCAAGAAAAGCCCGGGTTTGGTGACCAATGAAACGCAGCGCTCGGACTCGGACCGCTCTGAAATTTCGCTCACGCCCAGGAATGGGTACCGAGGGTAGGTTGTAGACTGAATTTTTTTGTCATTCTTTGGCTGGTTTAGAGCGATTTAAAAAAAAAAAATTTTTTAATTTTTCAAAAATTTGGCCAAAATTTGCAATTTTTTTGTCATCAAAATTTATTAAAAAACCAAAAAATTGATGACATTTTTGCCAAATTTCATTGTCATTTGAGCAGTCCGCCTTAAAAAAGGTGTAAAAATCCATTTTTATTATATGAATTCAATATGTCAGCACTTCCAGTAACCCTAGTCGGATTCGAATTCCGTCCAAGCCGTCGACTCGCCGAGCGGGTTCGGCCCCAAATTCCAGCGAGCTGAGCAACGATCTGGCCAAGGAGTTGGCCAAGGACCCGGGCGTTCGCCGCTCGGACAAACAGTTTGCGATCGGAATGGAGTATGGAAGTGATCAGGACCCGGGAAAGTTGAAGTACTATTTCCTGAAGAACGGGCGTCTTTACGAGCTGGATTCCAGCGCCGGCCAGCTCACGGTGGAGGTGGGATCGGGGATTTGTGGAGTCAGAACGAAGAGCAAGAAGAAGAAAGGAAAGGAATAATGGAATTTGTATTGAGCCCATTAACAAAATGGAAATAAACGGGATTTTTTTGATTTTTTGGAAATTTTTGAGATTTTTTGATGAATTTTTGAACATTGATCGTGACTTAGGTCATGAAATAGCTTTTTTTCCCCATAAATTGTTGTTTTATTAGAATTCTGCAATCATTTTTCTTATTTATTTGTACAGGTTTCATCGTATAAAATGTCTAACACATTTTCCCGCCATTTTTTTCGGGCGCGACCTGCCTCGATTTGCCTCGTTTCGCGTCCCTTTTTCGAATGCGCAGTCATTTTTTGAGCGAACTGCGCCCCGTTTTTGAGTTGAATTCCGATCAGATAGAGAGAGAGAGAGCTTTCTTCCCACCCCAAACAGTGGACCATCCCCGTTCCCAGAGGGCCGTATTTTGTCAAACCATTCGTATCCGACAGCATTTATTTTGTTCGTCCTGTATCGATATTGTTAATAAGAATTTGATGGAGTTGGATCAAAGGGAGAGGCTGCGTTCTCTGATCCGTCAGTGGAACGAGAACCGCTTGGATCTGTTCAGTATTAGTGAGCCGAATGAGGTGAGTTTCTTGTGTGTTCGTTTAGAAGAAAAAAAATTTTTTAACTTTGACGATTTTTTTTCTCCCAGAACATGGAATTTTACGGTGTTATGCGGTTTTATTACCACGAACCAGGCCAGAAAGTCACAACCAAGTGTATAAGAGTGTCTTCGTCAGCTACGACAAGAACTGTAATTGATGCGCTGGTGGAGAAATTCCATCCGGACATGAAGATGTTGACGGATCCGGACTATTCGATATGGGAATTGCACGAAAACAGTGAAGAAAGAATGCTCGAACTCGATGAACGACCTCTTCTCGTCCAATTAAGTTGGCATCAGAGCAATCGCGAAGGACGTTTTCTCTTGAAATCCACGGATCAGCCCGTTTATCTGCCGTTTTCGGTATGTCTAAAGTAATATAATTGATTTTATTCAACAGTTTTGGGCTCAATCTCTACTTTATTTGTTATTTCAAGGTGTGGGTCTTCTTTGGGGTTGATTTCGGACTGGTTTTGAGTTGGATTTGACTTGACAGATGGCCCTTTTCCGCGTTTAATGCGTTTCGGAAGGCAGATTTTAGGTAATAAATGGGGTTTATAGCTTGTTGATCCATTGCCAAAAGTCGGAAATTCCTTTTTTTATGTGTTAAAAGGATGATTAATCACTGATGAGGCGGGGTGATCTCACTCTGAGAATTCTATATTTGTTTTTTATGATTTATATTACACTTGACAAGCTGATAATTTGTTTTGTAAATAGTACTAATTACACTGTTTTTGTAGGCTCTACAATTCGGAGATGAAGTGCGTTCGTCGAAGCGGTCAAACAAATTTAAGAAGAAGGGAAACGGGAGGGATAAAGGTTGGTTTTTGGAGAGTTGTACTTACAAGGGAAGTACCCCAAGTGCGAAGCTCCGATTTTCTTTAAATTTTGCACACACGTCGGTCATGAACTACGTATCAATTCCTGAAAGTTTTAGATCGCTCGTTGCAAGCGCCGTCGAGATATTGAACGATATTTGCCGCCGAGAGAGCACGCTAAATGTGGAGAGCGGTCAGAGAGAAAAACACTTTTTGACCATAACTTCGCTAGTTTTGTGCGGCAAAAGTTGATTTTTTGTGGAAACATTGCCCTCTGTGGTAGAAATAGGCGTGAAACTTTTCGTGCCGAAATTCGGCAAAAAGTGTCAAATTTTCGCCAACTTTTGAACAAAAAATCTCGGTTATTTCTGCAAAGCGCGAGCTAGGATTCTCGCATATATCCTAGAGAAAATTATTCTAAATTTGTGCCAAGTTTTATCAAAATCTGAGCGTCGCACTTGGGGTACTTCTCCTGTCAGTTACGTCCAAATTTTCCTAAAATTCATTGCAGCCAATACGTATGCCGATGACATGAACAAATGTCTGTACGAGGAATTGCCCGAGAACACGTTCACCAGGACCATTTCGAATCCGGAAGTCGTCATGAAGCGTCAACGCGAACAGAAGATTGATCAGAAATTGAAGGAATTGGGGGAAAGAGGACTTGTTGGCGGAAGTTTGAAGGTTTATTGTGAAGAGCTGGATCCGAATAGACCTTATGTATCCGTATTGGTTGGGCCATTGGACTCTGCGGATAAGGTTTTGCTCGACGCGGTGGAAAAGTTCAGCTTTGGGACGTTGGATCATCGAGAATTTGTGCTAGTTGAGGTGAGGCAAGCAGTGTAATATAATTTATGTTATTTTGACTGGAATTTGACTAGATATAGGTTTATATTTCCACCTACTGGTGGTGTTATTTATGAGGGGTTATCGAGAGAGGGTGAACATAAAGTTTACGAGCTTACTCTCTTATCTATTCTAATATCTTTTCGCTCCTGCAGATCCAGCAAAGAAACGGGCGACGATCGGAGCGAGTGCTGCTTTTGGACGAGTGCCCGGCTGTTATTATTGCCAAAAACAATTCTTGTGGAAGTAAGTTGACTATCTGGTTATTAGCCAGTAGAATTTCCTCGAAAAAGTAATACAATTCGGAGTTGGACGATTGGGGAAAAGGACGATTGGGAAACCGAAAAGTATTATTTTTCTTCGATGCAAGTGTCGAAATTAGGATAATTGAGGGTGCTGAGTTCGAAAATGACGTTCATTTTTTTGATAGCTACTTTTTTCCTTAAGTAGTACTGTAAAATAGTAATTTTTTGATTTTTTTTCACAAATACTCGATTTGGGGGGCTTCGATGGTGCTGATTTCGAAAATCTTATTCATTTTATCCGATTTGAAAGCTCTATTTGGGGGGTTTCGATGGTGCTGCCTTCAAATCAGAAAAAATGAATAAGATTTTCTAAATTAGCAAGCTCGAAACCCCCCAAATCGAGTATTCATGAAAAAAATTCAAAAAATTACTACCTTACAGTACTACTTAAGGAAAAAAGTAGAGATCAAAAAAATGGATGTCATTTTCGAAATCAGCACCCTCGATTATCCTAATTCCGACACTTTCATCGAAGAAAAAATACTTTTCGGTTTCCCCAATCGTCCCGTTCCAATACAATTACCCCACCCCAAGTGCTGTCCATTTTGTTATTTTTCCGTGACCCTTGCTCCGAGACAGCCACTCCCGTTGCCCTCGAGAGAAAGGGAGTCTCATAAGCGGCGATTCCAGCACTCCTAATCGGATTATATTGTAGCGGAGACGTCATTTCATCTGCGGAAACGGACTTCGTCGCCTCCAACGACATCGACTCCGTTGAACGGGAAGGAGAACGCGGTAAGCGGAGAGGGGGGTGAGAACGACGGGGCAAGACGACGGCTGCGGGAGACCCCCGAGATTAATCGCCCCCCGACCTCGTCGCGCTTTCTTTTAATTGCGCACTGACCGATTTGCTCCAATCTCCCCATCCCACATATTTATATTCAAATTGTAGATGGTCATCGAACCGCCGCCCAGCTACCGGCAGGCCACACACTTTGATGTGACCCCCGACCTCGGCCCTCCTCCGGCCAATATTCCGTGTCATTTGCAGTTGCGCTGTAAGTGAGGGGATATCATATTGTTAATGGGTGCTCGTTCAGTCGCCGTCGGATGTAGTTAGCTACTTAAAGCGGGATTATTTGAGTGGCGGGATTTTTTTTTTGAGCGAAAGTGATAAGAAATGAAAAGAATGGAAGATTATACAGTGACGGACCTGATCCACTGGCAAAAAACGTACCATTTTGCATCCGGGAAGTATCAAAAAATTTTGCAAAATTCCTCCATCTCCAAGTGAAAAACTCCGTTTTCAAAGACGTGCCTTTTTCCTCAAAAAAATAGCTATTGAAATCGGAGTTTTTTCACTTGGAGAGGGAGGAATTTTGCGAAATTTTTTGATACTTTCCGGATGCAAAATGGTACAGTTTTTGCCACTGGATCAGGTCCGTTACTGTATAATTTCGCATTCTTCTAATTTCTTATCACTTTCGCTCAAAAAAAATCTCGCCGCTCAAATAATCTCGCTTTAGGTAGTTAACTACATCAGACGGCGACTGAACGATCGCTCATTAACAATCCCCATTGTACGGTAAAATAATATAAACCCGGACTGATGACATATTTTTTAGGCTCGGCCTCTCAATTCCTGATCTCTCTGTTCGATCACTTCCGCTCAAATGACACCGAATTCCCTCTGGCTCCAGCTTTTATCACATATTTGGCCGTAAAAGACCCACAAAACAGAGAGACCACGGCTTTGATCCTCTTGTTCTGCAACAAAGTCAACGAGTTTGTACAGGTAGAATTGCTGGATAAATCATTTTTGTTGAAAATTTTTTAAAATTTACTTGATGATGATTTCAGTCGCGCCCCGATGATTGGAGAATCCCCAATTTCTGGCTGGCCAATTGCCTGGAACTGGGCAATGTGATTGCCAAAGATACGACCGCCTTCAAACACACAACCAATAATTTGAATGAGAATATCAAAGTGACGACGATCAGATGCTTCGACTTTCTCGTGGAGTCCTGCCGGATCGAGATTGAAAAACGAATGTCCAAGTTCTTGAACGTCGCCTTGAGACATGACATTGCAGTCAGAGAGCTCATGGATTTCCTGGAAGATGTCTCGAACCATGTGCGAAGAGTCCAACTGAACCCGGCATTGATCATTCAGCTGTTTTCTCATATTTTCTACACCGTCAACATGTATGCCTTCAATTGGCTGATTTCTACTGAGGGTAAGGTCATCTGTTATGTTTGTCATAAGAAAAAAGTTGATTGTGGTCTTACTTTGCATATTTTTTGGGAACTGGGACGATTGGGGAAAGAGAGGATTGGGGAAACCGAAAAGTATTATTTTTCTTCGATGCAAGTGTGAAGTTAGGATAATCGAGGGTGCTGATTTCGAAAATGACGTTCATTTTTTTTATCTTTACTTTTTTCCTTAAGTAGTACTGTAAAGTATTAATTTTTTTGAATTTTTTTCATAAATACTCTATTTGGGGGTTTTTGACATTGCTGATTTCGAAAATCATGTTCATTTTTTCTGATTTGAAAGCGGCGCCATCGAAACCCTCCAAATCGTGTATATGTAAAAAAAAATTCAAAAGTTACTACTTTACAGTACTACTTAAGGAAAAAAGTAACTATCAAAAAAATGAATGTCATTTTCGAAATCAGCACCCTCGATTGTCCTAATTTCACACTTGCGTCGAAGAAAAATAGTACTTTTCGGTTTCCCCAATCGTCCTTTTCCCAAACCGTCTTTTTCCCCAATCGTCCCAGTTCCGGTATATTCGTCATAAGACAAAAGTTGAATGTGGCTTTACTTTGCATATTTTCAGAGGGGAACTCAAGCCTTACCCGTCAATTCGCCGTCCAATTTCGTTCTCGGTTGTCCGAACTGACCCGATGGTCCGAATTACATGGCCTCGAATTGGTAGCTGAATGTCAATTGGACCGAATAAACCAGACCCTGCATCTGCTGGTCACTCCGAAAACGGTCAACCAGATCGCCAGTCTTGGTGCTACTTGCTACAAACTCAATTCCCGGCAGGTCGGCTTTTTGTTGAGCAGGTATATATCGGATATAAATGAACTGCCAGTGACTCAAGTGCTGGTGGATAATGTTGTTCAACTCGCTCAATGTCATGCTGATCGGATCATCAAAGAGGAAGGTGGAGAAGTGACGCTGGAAGAGGATCCCGTCTTTAGACTGGCCTTTTCTTTTCCAGATGACGGCTATGTTTTGGGTAGGTTAATGAATTATTAGGTCGTCCAGAAAGTTCGTTCGATTTTTTATTGCTTTGTTTACGATTGTTTGTTGCTTGGCAAATGGCATGTTTTTATTTGATGCAGCCAGTTTTGTAGAGGAGAAAAAGCTGTATCAAATAAATATATTCCATTTGCCAAAGAACTAACAATCCTTGTAAAACAAAGCAATGAAATCTAATGAAGACTGGTTGATAAAAAAAAATTTTTTTGATAATTTCAGATACTTTGGAGACAATTCCTTCCTCTCTTTCAACAGTCCTTGCCAATCTTCAACGCACTGGCCTCTGTGATCTCATCTACGAACAGTCGGCCTCCCCTTGGGCAAGCCAATTTACTCATCAACTTCCCGCCATCCAGCCCCAAAGAGCACCCCCTCATTATCGACCCCCATCACAAACGCCGAGCTTTGTAAACCGACCAGAACGAATCACGGTAACCATCAGACGTCCGCCTGGTGCTGGACTGGGTCTCTCGATTGTGGCCGCTCAAGGATTGGGCGATTCGAATATGGGGATCTACATCAAGAAGGTCGTGGAGAACAGCCCCGCCGCCTATGAGGGATCTCTGGCTAGAGGCGATCAGATCTTGGCTGTAAATGGTCTCCCCTTGCTGAATGTGTCTCAAGAAATCGCTGCGAAGCATATAGCGGCGTCTGGTGGGGTTGTCAGGTTGGATGTGATAAAGAGTGCCGCTTCTTATAATGGACTGGAGTCATGGTTAGACACACGATCGTCACAACAACCACAATCTCAAAGCTCCGCTCAAGTTTATGCTACAACTTCTGAAATTATGAGTCCGGCCGGGACTTTTAGTCAGGTAAGTTTTTTGGATATTAACCCTTTCCGGACGAGCGGGCACGTCCTGGTAAAATTGAAAGAGGGTACCCTAACTAGTAACGGCATAACAGTGGTTCAGCCCATTGAAGCGTTTGGGACTTACGGCAAAAAATGCACTAAAAAGTACCCACCTTTGACATCACTTTTGAAATTTTTGTGACAAGCTGTAGATCGGAAAGTACCCTTAGATTAATTTCGAGGAGTCCTACTACAGTGACATCCAAGAACTGTCCAAATCGGACAACTGTAGGATTTGTTACCGACTTTTGAAAATTGAATTCTTAATTTCGTCAATTTTTGACCCCCTCTTGAAATAAGTCTTAAAAAATTTTTTGCTACCAGCTGTAAATAAGAAACCGCCCTTAAATTAAAGTCTAGAAGTCCTTCTACTGTTACATCCAAGAAATGTTCAAATCAGACCACGGTTGATTATGGCGCAAGATATACTAGATTTTTAAGTCGAAAATTGACGAAATTAAGAATTCAATTTTCAAAAGTCGATAACAAATCCTATTATGGTCCGATTTGGACAGTTTCTTGGATGTAACAGTAGTAGGACTCCTCGAATTTAATCTTGGGGTACTTTCGGATCTACAGCTTGTCACAAAAATTTCAAAAGTGGTGTCAAATGGGGGTACTTTTTAGGACATTTTTTGTCATAAGTCCCAAATAACGCTTCGATGCGCTGAATCACTGTTATGTCGTTACTCAGTAAGGCATCCTCTTTTGTTTTTACCCCTGACTCTCCGGAAAGGGTTAATTTACAGCTGGGTCTCGTTCCTTGAGTATTGTGTTTTTTTAGAACTCATTGCCATCACAGTCATCTCAACGCCTTCCCGAACGTTTTCGACCGGTCGCTATTCGTCCGCCGGTTGTGAAACCCCCATATCACCACCAAACACAACCAGACCATCAGCTGAATGGACAAGGAGATCATGCGTTTGTAAGAAGGGGATCTGTTGGGTCACTGAAAGTCATGCAAAATGAAGTCAGACTCCCTCCAATGGCTGAATCCGGCAGAAGATCGGCTCCGATATTTGAAAGACCAGAAGATCTGGATCGGAAACCATCTCTGGGTAGGATAATATAATTTTTTAGTTATGAATTTTTTTTCTGAGTTTAGGCTACATTCCCCTGACAAATGGGACGTCCAGATTGGTCCACCGGCAACCGGCACCGGTGAATGATATAGTTCGAAGTCATGAAGCATGCCTGAACGAGCTGAATAGAGAGTTCGAAAAGAGGATCTCTTTAAATTCTATGCCTCACTCCAGAAAGTTGTATCCTCAAAACAAAAATGATGATGATTTTGTACGACAAGTTGATCTTCTTCAAGAACAGGCTAATCGCCTTGTTTATGATGAGTCTCATGACCAGTAAGAGAGCAATTTTATAGATGTTATACTTGATATAATTTTTTGTTTTTTTTTGTTGTTTAATTGGTTTTAATGACGATTTTTCAGTGCTCAACGTGGATTCCAAGAATTCCAGCCACGAAAACAAAGCCTCAAGGAAAACCGAGCCATCCATGAACAGGACCGCGTGCTTTATGAACTCGAGGACAATGTAAATAATGTTAAATATCCCGAGAACGAACCGAGGGTCCAGGTATTGGGCGCTAGCGAAGTGTATAACGACCCTCGACAAAGGAGGTTAAACCAGATCAACGAATCTCAGAACTCGCAAAACAGTAATTCAGTAGGTTTTATATTATTATTTTTTTGAATTTTATTACTTATAGTGATCGGTACTGGGATTTGACCGGTCAGCCCAAGAGCCTTGGCCCAGTATAATGGGTAAAATTTCATAAAAATTTTACGTTTTCAAACTTTTCAGTTTTGTTGAAGAACAAGCACTTCAAGTCCCAATCAAACTTTTATGTCATTAGTTTTTCATATACAGCGGTTAAAACGACAATCAACAGATCGTATTTTGGGTAATGTAAATCATCAAAACCATAAATAAAACATGTAACTTTTACACCCCTAATTTTTCATATACAGTGACGGACCTGATCCAATGGCAAAAAACGTGCCAATTTGCATCCGGGAAGTATCAAAAAATGTAGCAAAATACCTCCCTCTCCAAGTGAAAAAACTCCGATTTCAAAGCACGCTCGATCTTTTTGTGAGGGACGGCGAAAAACTCCTTCAAAACGGAGTTTTTTCACTTGGAGAGGGAGGTATTTTGCCACATTTTTTGATACTTCCTGGATGCAAAATGATACGTTTTTTGCCATTTGATCAGGTCCGTCGCTGTATAAGAAAAATTAGGGGTATAAAATTTACATGTTTTATTTTTGGTTTTGTTGATTTACATTACCCAAAATACGATCTGTTAAATATCGTTTTAACCGCTTGGACGGTAAAATTCCAATGCTTAATTATTCATGTGTAATATTTATTTTTTCAGAGAGATGGGTCTCAATTGGACTTCCAGGACAAGATGAGATTATTCGCCGCCCAATTAGGCGAGGCCGATCTCCGCTCCAAATTCAAGGCTTCTTCGGCCGAAAGGGAGATCGAGGAATCTTCGTAAATAGTACTGTAACTTTTTTATTACTCTCACGGTCTAATGTTATCACTTAACATATCTGTTGTATAAACTGTTACTTTTGATCAAGAGTGGAGCTCTGAGATCTGGCATTTTTTTGATCAAAAGATGATCAAGAAAATTGATGAATAATAATATGTTTATTGCAATTCCTGTTGATAAGATCAATCATCGGCTTAACTGAGTGATTCCAAAGATAAATACAACACAATAGATACGCAAACATTGGTCAATGTGGATTCTCAGCCCACATTCACCAATGTTTGCCGAACTGCGCCCTGGATTAGACGCTCCGCGTAACCTTCGTCCAATTTGAAGTAGGTTTGGACTTGGATATACCTTTCGTGGATGCTCAATCTGAAAAAAAAAATGTGATTTTTTATTTTTTATTTCCATTTTTTTCGAAAATCGAAAAGTTCCACATGGGCCACCAAAAGATTTTTTTTTGAAATTTTTTAAATTAATACTGCTAAAAAATTATTTTTAAAGTTTTTTTTCAGGCCATTTGCACCAATGGCACATGAGGTACCCCAAAAATAAAAAAAAATCCATTTTTTCTGCATTATAATTCATTGCAGAACAACTTACTTTGGGCTTTTCAGCACCACCCCTCTCATGGTTGGCATGACCAATCCCATTTGTAGGATTTCCGTCAACAATTTCTCCAAGAATTCGGCTCCAAACAGTCCGAGATCTCCGAAAACGGCCTGATCAACGTCCGCCACTTTGCTGTCGATTAATTTGAAGTCCAAGTTTTCGATCGATGCATTCCCAACAATCCGCATCTTGTCGATCCATAAATTCACATTGGCCGTTAGGGTCGTGTCGGATTGGATGACCTAAAAAAATTTTTTTTAAATTTGGCCAAAATTTGGCGTGAGCTTTGATTACAATTTTCTAAGGCGTTTGCGAATTTTTTTGCTTCTGTTTTACAAGAATTTTTTCAAAAAAAGGAGATCTTTGGTAAAAAAAAAATTTCAGGAGAAGAGTATTCCAAGTACGACGCTCAGATTTGCGCTAAATTTTTGGCACATGCCGGATTTTAGTCGTTTATCAATCAATTTTTTTTTCTATTTTTTCTTTTTTTTTTGATTCTAAAGTCTCAAATTTTCAAATTTTAAATTTCCCGCCAAGAATTTATCTCTTTGGCATTCTGTCTTATGCCTACAGACGGCTTCTAAAGGAGCTGCCAATCATCCTCTGAAAGTTCCAGCTAACAATTTTCAGCGGCAGCTGAGATATTCGACGTCCTGTGTAGCCGAGAGAGTACACAAAAAATTTCTGGTCATCTTGAACTCTTTTGCGCAACGTTTCAAACTATACCACTTTCAACACAACACCGATTTTTTCCTCACCTGAACCTTGACTTGCGACGAATTCGACGGCCTCACATACATATTCATCCTGCCATGCAGTCGAAACCTTGCTCGATTCTCCACAAACACCAAGATTGGCGCTTTCTTGGCGGAGAATTTGACTTCCACTTCTCTGTTGGGGTACTCTTCGCCTAACGCGCCCAAATATTCGCCAATGCAAAATCCCTCCGGGCAGGTTGTGTGGAGAACTTCTTTCAGTTGAGTGGAGGACTCTGGACCCACCGTCACGTCCATGTAGCGTTGTTTGTAGGCGTGGTAGAGCATGGAGTTGGCGATGTAGTCCGTACCGAAGAATTCGACCATATGAACGCCTGAAAAAAGGTCTTGTAAACGGTTGTGTTTTCTAAAGAAACAATTTTTTCCAAAGTCATCAAAATTCGCTAATGGCAACAAGCTGATTTTAGCTAAATCTTGGCTGTAAAATATCGGCTGTCAGAGGTCCCAGCAATTTTTAAGCCTCCTAATTAAATAAACTCACCATGAGGAGGCGGGATATTCACCGTTGGCGGGAAGAATGGCGTTCCACCGAGACCTTTACTATAAACAAATCATCATAAAAAACAAATCTTACGCCAACTTACGATGAAATTTCTCCCTTGTTCTTCATCAACACCGTTCCCTGGCTAACGAATGGAGCGCTCAACAAGGAGAAGTCGAGCACCAGATTTTTCTCTCTCAAGTTGTTGACGAAATTCAACAACGACAAGTTCCGTTGGCCCTTCTGCTGAAAGCTGGCCAACGGACGAGCCTCGGAGAGGCCAAAGGTTTGGCCAATGATGTCCAAGTTGTCTTCGTTGATTCGTATCTTCAACGGCATTGTGGAGAGGATGCCGTTCATGTCGCGGTTGATGACATTTTCAATCATTTGGCACATGCGCTGCTCGACCATTGGCTTGAAGTTGGCGATGAGAAAGGCTGAAAAGTGATGACAATGAAAGGAAAAATTCGTTGACAGATAAGCATATTTGAAGAATTCAAGTATACAAAACGATTTTTGAGGCCTCAAAAGCTAGTTTTAGGCCAGGTATCAAAAAAGTGTAGCAAAATGCCTCCCTCTACAACTAAAACACTCCGTTTGAAGGCGCGCTCCTCGCAAACAGAGCGGGCGCGCTTTTGAAATCGGAGTTTTTTTCACTTGGGGGGGGAGGTATTTTGCCACATTTTTGATACTTCCCGGATGCAAAATGGTACGTTTTTTGCCCCTGGATAAGGTCACTAAAATTGATTTTTCGGTCCCTTACGGTTATAAGATTTTTTTGCTGCAACAAATCCACATTATTTTCCCGACAGGCCGACATTTTTATCTTCTATTTTTGCCAAAAAATCACAAGCTCATTTTCAACACCACTGACCTTTAAACGAGTTGATGAAGAAGTCGGTGATGACCCCAGTATTCCGCACATTCAGATCCACGTATCCGATCTGCGAGTTGCAGTAGGCCGATTGGACTTGCGGTGCTCCCGTCGCGGTTCTTCACTATGCAAATAAATCGTCTAAGTTTGCAAAAGAGTGAATTGTGAAGCCTTTCAGGGTATTCTCAAACTCACCTCAGCATTCGCACCGAGATTGTCAAAGAAATATGGCCCAGGAGGGTCTCGAATTCGCCGGAGATTGGAACTGAAGGCAGGAGGAGCGCTCCATTCAGACGGGCGTCAAAATTGCCGGCGGCACTGAAATGACAAGTTCAGAACTCGTTTTACAGGGGAAGTACCCCAAGTGCGACGCTCAGATTTTGATGAAACTTGGCACAAATTTAAAATATTTTTTTCGAAACTATATGCGAGAATTCTAGCATAACTCTCCCCCTTTTTGAAGACTCCCCCTTGAATGAACCCTCCCCCTTTTTGAACACTTCCCCTCATTTTGAAAATTGAAAAACAGTTGTGACCTCTTATACGATGAAATTTTTTTTCAATCTTATACTTTTTTTTCATTTTTCAATTTGAAAAAATTTTCATCGTATAAGATGTCACACCTCATTTTTCTCAATTTGAAAAAAATTTTCATCGTATAACATGCCACACCTCGCTTTTTCAATTTGAAAAAAAATTTCTATCGTATAACATGTCACACCTCGTTTTTTCAATTTTCAAAATGGGGGAGTGTTCAAAAAAGGGGAGAGTTCAGATTTTTTGGCGAAAAACAAAAAAGAGGGAGAGTTCAGCCTTTTTTGGGGGAGAGTTCAAAAAGGGGGAGAGTTCAGATTGAGGAAAAGTTCAGAAAAGAAGGAGAGTTCTGCCGCAACGGTTCATGCCCGACGTGTGCGCAAAATTTAAAGAAAATCTGAGCGTTGCACTTGGGGTACTGCAGCATAGCCCTTGTTAGGTAACTCGAAAAAAATTCATGCTGTCAAAAAGTTGTCAAGTTTTTACCGTAAATGCATTTTCGACATGGTCCAAGTGAACGCATCCGGACCCACCAAATCTAGCGAGTATTCTACGGGCGGCCAATACTTTGAGACATAGGCGTTGTAGATTGACACCTAAGAACATGACCGAATAAGGCAAAAATGGCTGTAACGTACTTGTCCCGCTTCGATGGTCTCCGTAATTGTTGGGAGATTGATTTTGAGGACCTCATCGTTCACAACTTTCATCCCGATCTCGCGGAGATACGCCAGTCCGGTGGGCATTAGCCGAAGGTAAATCCCAGGGTTTGCGGGATTCGTGTTTTGCTGGAAATAGGATTTTGGAGGGGAAAAAATATTTTTTGCACTTTCTTTATTACAGAAGAGACCCTTTGATGACAAAAGAAAGGTAAGTTCAACTCACAAAAAGCAACGGCGAAACGTCATTGGCAGGATTCGGCGTCTGCGAGATCACGTGGGATATCAATAAAAGAGCGAAGAATGACCGACATATTATGTCGGGCATTGTTCGGCTGAAAAAATGTTATATTGCGGATTGTAATGTGTTGTTGTAGGAGTAGATAATCAAGTCGTAATATCAAAAAAAAAAATAAATAAAAAAATAAATAAATAAAAAAGTTTACAAGGTACTAGGCCGCGTCTGATATCATCAATGTTACCATATAAATCTCAAAACCCCGTTGTATTATTTCAAAAAGTTGTACGAACATAACTTTGCAATTATCATGTCATCATGTCTCAACAAGGGGAATATAGGAGGCACAAAGTGAGATAGGGCGAACTTGTGCGTAAAATTTAAAGGACAAGTATTGGTCCTCCAGAAAAGTCAGAGCCAACCAAAGTTTTTAACTCGCAAGTGGCAAAATCTCCTTCCAAAAAGTCATACTAGCCTTTTCGGAAAGTCGTCGGACTGAAATCGGGCAACCTTGCGCAGGGCGACTTTTTTCGCACAGTAAAAACGCCAAAAATCAGTCCGGCGACTTTCCGAAAGGACTAGTATTCCAAGTTCGACGCTTAGATTTTGACGAGCTTGTCATAAATTTAGACCAACTTTTTGTATGACGTATGGAAGTTTGAGCCAGGTTAGGCCGAAATTCGGGAAAAATGTGGCATTCTTTTCGTTCATGAAAAGCTCAATGCCTAGTGGGAAGGGTACTACTATGGTTTTTACCGTAGTACTTTAGGGATATTATTCTCACAAAAAAAGGCCCCGCACAAATTTTAGGACATACCATGGCACTTGCCGAATATTAGAACACACCATGACAAATTTACACGGCATTTACCATGGTATAATCTAAAATGATTTTTTACTCCCTTGGCCGCAAAGATTGTTCAATATCTCGGCTGTTTCTGCAAAGCGCGAGCTAAAATTTTCAGAAATTTATATGTGGCCTATCCTGAAGGCGTGTTCAAAATTTAAAGAAAATCAAACAGCTAAAAAATGCCAAATAATGGCTGTTATTACAAATCCAACCTCAAAAACATCGTTTTGGCTCGTTTGAAGATTTGCACAAAACACTCTGTAAAATTTTGACGAAAGAAAGGGAATTGGAACAAAGTGAAAAAACAAAAAGTGGCTGTAAAAGAAAAGGAGATGAAGAAGTTCTTTTCGGATTAGATGGAAAAAAAGACGGGATCCATCAACGGGGGGTTCTGGGTGGAGAGTGCGCCTTCCTTCTCCTACTGACCTTAATCAAGCAGAAAGTTGAGAGTGTCATAATGAATCCTGAAATGTAAATTTTCGGGAGTAAATATTTGATAATTTTTAGGGATTTTTTAGTAATGAAAATTTTTTAAAAAATGAGAAAAAAGTAAAAGGGAAAAAATTTCCAAAACGCTTGGATTTTGAAAATTCGACAAAATTTGTTTATAAAATTAATTTTTTTTAGGTTTCTTGATGCAAGTTGAGATTCAAGTTTTTAAAGAAAAAAAATTTTTAGCTGGCGCTTTCCAGAACCAACCAAAGTTTTTAATCCCAAAATTGGCAAAAATCCCCCTCCGAAGAGTCATCATCGAATCCTCATTTCACTGTCAGAAAACAAAATTTTTCTTTCCACTATGCCATTTATTGTTTTGCACACTTTTTTCGGCTGTCGCTCGCACTCATTTTTTCGCACAGTGCAAGCGGCAAAAATTAGTCCAGCGACTTTCCGGAAGGTCTAGCACTGCAAAAATCCTCTCAATCACACTTTTTTGCAAAGCTTGACAAGTACGATGCTCGGATTTTTCAAAATTAGAATTGCATTTTTCCAAGAAAAACGCGGGGTTATTACCCTGCCTGGAATCTTTTTGGAAAGCGCCAGAGATTTTTGGGTCCAAATTTGCAAAGAATTCACACTTTTTTGCGAATTCATGTTTACAGAAGATGTTCTGATACCTCTGCTTGCAAAGCACGAGCTAAAACTTGGAAGAATTCGTATGCCGGCTATGTTGCAAAATTTTGAGTCTTACCGCCCAATTTCAAAGTCTCCCCTATAAAACTGCTCCAACAGCTACATCAAGCCCAAAACTCTTCGAAAAAAACAAGTATAATATAAAAATGGAAAATTAAGGTTGTTGAGAAAAACAACGTCAACCCTGTTTGTGCTCCTCCATCTCTTTAATCCCATATTGAGGGATTTGTTCGCCGAAATCCCCGCCTCTTTGACAATAAGCGCGAGGAGTTTTTGATGGCGGAGAAAAAAGTTTTCTGGTTAAAGTGCTTGTTACTCAACGACTTTCTGGATTGTGTGTGAACTTGTGATTCGATCTCTGCAACCGAGATTTCGCTCTTTGATTGAATGGAAGGAGTGATCTCAAGCTTGTTGTTTGAAAGAATACGAGACGTAAAAGACATGTTGAAACGGCAAATTTTTGCCAAAAGCAAGAAGATAGGATTGAATGAAAATTGGATTTATCAATGAAGGCTGTCATTCGCTACGAAACTGTCCAGATTTATTGCCCGCGCTTTGCAGAAACCAACGACATTTTTTGCCGGAAAACTTCGGAGACTCGAGGAAATTCAAAATTGAGGGGCTCAAAGTGCGACGCTCGGATTCTCTTCAAATTTGGAATACTTTATCTACCCGCTTCACATTTCAATTCCTGAAAATTTTATCTATCGCTTTGCAGGCACAGCCAAAATATTCAACGATTTTCTCGGTTGTAAATATCGTTGAATATCCCGGCTGTGCCTACAAAGCGACAGATAAAACTTTCAGGAATTGATAAGTAAAGCAGGTAGATAAAGTATTCCAAATTTGGAGAAAATCCGAGCGTCGCACTTTGAGACTTTCAATTCTGAATTTCCTCGGGTCTCCGAAATTTCCCGGCTAAAAAATTTCGTTGGTTTCTGCAAAGCGCGGGCTAAAAATCTGGAATATTTAGTTGCAAATGACAGCCTTCATTGATAAATCCAATTTTCATCCAATCCTATCTTCTTGCTTTTGGCAAAAAATTGCCGTTTCAACATGTCTTTTACGTCTTGGAGAAAATCCAAACGTCGCACTTTGAGACTTTAAATTCTGAATTTTATATAGTCTCCAAAACCTTACGGATAAAATTGTCATTGGTTTCTGCAAAGCGCGGGCTAAAAATTTCATGAATTCATAAATGACCCAAGCAGATAATTTTGATAAAGCCTTAGCGCCTCGCTTCGGGAACTGTCCCAATTAATTACCTCCCAAAAAATCAAGTTTAATTTATAAAGATCATTCCAGAAATCGCCAGCCCTCCAAAATCCTCGCCTTCCTTATTTATGACATTGATCTCTACCTCAAACCCGCGCAAAAGGTAAGTCGCTCCCGTTTCCTTCGGCGTTGACAGATGACATTATGAGTTCCGTGAACGTTTCGAGAGGAAAGAGGACCGGTTGTTGCGTGAACTCGCCCGACCGACTTTTTTTTGGGATCGGGTTGGAAATCTGACGACTAGGGCTCGAGACTTCGCAGCCTGCGGCTGCTCACGTCTCTCGGGGAGTCCTGCGCCCGGTTTCGTTGCTTTGCGCCCGGTATTGCTGCTCTTCGCGCGATTTGGACATGTTCAACGTCCAAAACAACATAAACGCTCGCCAAAGCTTTGCCGACGGCCTCCGGCCGCGGCAGAAAAACGCTACGCGTTAGACTGAGCCTAGTAGAAACTTGTGTCGTTCGGAACGCTAAGCCGACTTTGTTTTAGATCGGGAATTTACCCAGATCGCTAAGCCCGGCTAAAGAGCCCGCCGGCATGAGGCGACGGCCTACGGCCGCCGCTAGACTACATTTTTTTACCTAAAATAATTCCCCTTCCCCAAAAGTTGATCAGAAATACTTTCAGCAACCAAAAATCAACTAAAAAAACTCGAAAAAATAGACTCAGCACTCAAAATCAACCAAAGCCAATATTTTTCTCAGATTCCCCGTCAAATTTGGCCCTAAAACGGCCAAATCCCGAGAATCCAGGCCCAAAAAAATAATTTTACAAAAATTTCTCGAAAAAATCCAGAAAATCCCGTCATGACGCGTCACGATGACAGTTTCCGTACCACCCTCCTCACACTCAGCACTCCCTCCGTCTTGTCTCTGACCAAAATCGAAAGAGAAAACTTTTCTCTAGCCACCCTCCACCCCTTTCCCACTCTCTCTCTTCTCCCGCCAAACGAAGAAGGAAGCGGTTCTCTGCCCGCTCTCTCTCTTCGCCGCGCTCTTTTTTTGTGTTTTCGTCCGTGGAAGTGGGCGTTTTTTCAAAACTGGCACTTGTTGCACTAAAAGTACCGGGGAAAAAGATACGACCATGTCCGAAATGACATGGAGATTCCGAATATGTAACTTTTAGACGAATTTTAGTTGGAAATTTAAGAGAAAAATCGGGTTTACAAAATTTTGACTTTTGGGTGCCTCCGGGGTTCACACGATTTGCGTTCATAACTTGTTTGTACATCTCCTATATTCCGGTTGTAGAGTGATACTGCGACTCGCTATCATTTAACCGAGGCGATTTTTGAATTTCGACCTTGTTTCCGAGCTATGGTAACTTTCGTCAAAGTAAGTAAAAGCCAAAAATTCGGAAATTTCAACACTGCCTTTTCACCTTGTCCGTATTTTAGGAGTCGATACCTGTTTCTACATCAGTTTGCCGTGCTGAATACGATGGACGAAATTAAAATCCGAAAAAATTCGATTCCAAGCCCTCAGGGCCGAATTTTGGTCGAAATTTCGAGAATTTTTTTTGACGGTACAGTGCGCATCGAATATTGCAGATAGAGACGTGAAACTTGGCACGATGGTAGTTCATTTTGTATCCTATAGCACCCATATGATCAATTTGTTCAACTCCGCTAATTGCCCTGAGGGCGATTTTTTTCGCACGGTGCACCAAAAATCGACCAAAATTTCCGCCCGCTCTGACGGCCGTAACTTTAAAGATACGCAGACGGTATAAGCGGGTAATTTGTAGAGCTCTTCGAGCTCTACAATCCATAGTTGGACATTTTTGACATCGTTGTTGTACATCAGAGAGAAAATTTTGAAAAAGTCAAAATTTTGAAAATTTCGAAAAATTGCGTTTTCCGTCCCGAGATTTTTTTGAGGAGATGGCTACGTAGAATGTTCTGAAAAAATTTAGGGACAATCTTGGGGCAAAAAAAATAAGATTTGCGAGTGATTTTTTTGAATTTCGACCTGGGAGTCGAGAACGATTTTTTTGAATTTTGCACTGTGCAAATCGTATTTTTTACAGTAAGGCATAACTAAAATACGAAGGCGAGTACAGGAATGAAAGATACGTACTAATAGGAAGTCAGGTACGTGGAATTCAATGGAATCGAAAAAATCCAGAAAATCCGTCATCATGACGGGGTTTTCTGGAAGTGTAACTTTGTACATGGTCGTATCTACACATACATGGAGTTATCTCTTAGTTATGAATTTGCTTTCCCGATATGGACCTGTAGAAGCTTGCATTTGAATATTCCCCGGTCTAATTAAAAGATACGAAAAAAGGTCTTTTTTTGAGATTTTTTTCGTAAATTTTGAAATTTCGAAAAAATCTCGACAGTGATTGTCCCATTATGTACCATACGCGACGAAACCAAAAATCAAGTCGATACCTATAAAACGAAGCGAGATATGGTAGCTCAAAGTTTCGACTTTTCATGACGTCATAGGTCACTCAAAATTGAAAATTTCTAATTTTTTTTTCAAATACTCAAAGAGAGCATCTAAAAGAACCCCCATGCCAAAAATCAAGTCAATCGGAGCAAAACAAAAAAGAAACCAAAAACCTTATGAATACTTGTATTTTTTTTTAGAAAATCCGCGCCGTTCTCTCGCCGATTAGCCACAATTGCGTTTTTTCGCCAAGGAAAGTGGCATGACTTTGCCGCGAGTGAGGGCTGTTTGCTCTACATCTAACACGATGATTACGAGTGGAACGTGTTTATGATGATTTGGATTTGCGTTCGTTGTTTGGAAACCTTTTCGAATGAATATGGTCATGCGTCACAAAGAAGGCAATAGTGAGGGAGAGCCTGTGGGATATCCATTCATAAAAATTCAAAGAGGGGATTCTTGATATAGACACTAATGTCTCGGTTAAATCTCGGAACAAAAATCCCGGTTGTTTTTGCAGTGAGATTCGGCGATTTTTTCGATGAGAGAGCGCGCGAAATGAAGAGAGCGGCCAGCGAGATCCACGGGTTTTCAGCGTGACTTTGCCAATCATGTGGGGAAAGAAACAATTTTTTGTAGAAACTTTTGTAGCCTTTGGGAGAAATAAAGCTGATCTTTTTTCAAGCCAAAGCTGCCAAGAAAATGGCCAAAAAAATTTTTTATCAAAAAATCCCGGTTGTTTCTGCAAACCGCAAGCTGGGAATTTCGCATACGTCTCAGAAATAATTAGTCTAAATTTAGGCCAAGTTTCATCAAAATCTGAGCGTCGCACTTCTAGCAATTCATATGTAAGTTTGGTGGTATAAATTTACGAGGAAGCTGTTTGGAAGTGCGACGCTCAGAATTTGAAAAAAAAACTTGGCGCAAATTTAGATTAGTTATTTCTAAGGTGCATGCGACATTCTAAACTCGCGGTTTGCAGAAACAACCGAGGTTTTTTGATTAAAATTTATCAAAAATTATAATATTTTGGCCATTTCTTGGCAGTTTTGGCATGAAAAAAATCAGCTTTATTTCTCCCAAAGGCCACAAAAATTTTTACAAAAAATTATTTCTTTCCCCACATGATTGGCAAAGCCACGGTCAAAACCCGTGGATCTCTCTGGCCGCTCTCTTCATTTCGCGCGCTCTCTCATCGAGAAAGATCGTCGACTCTCTCGGTTGCGCCTGCAGAGCGCAATAAAATTTTCAGAAATTAAAATGTGCCTTATACTCTGACACTGTAAGAAACTTCGGGAAAACCGACCACCTGGTCGATTTTCCTCCGGTCTATACCATCTGCTTCACAAGCTACAGTAATCCAATTTTCAAAAAAAGAAAAAAACAGATTCAACCTTCAAACTTAATTTATTGGCCGAATTTCCTCCTATTTTCATTGAAATTTTCTTATGTCATCTGTACTTTATCTGACCTTTCAAAACCGCGTGGTGATAAAAACTTCTCTTCCGATGAACTGTCTAAACTTATTTTCTAAACAAAATCAACGTTTTTTCCATTATCGTAGACGTTAAAAATGGTAAAAAAAACGCCTTTCGCTGTAAACTATCGTTTCCGTTCAACAGTTCGCAACCACGTTCCCCAAATAATAAATCAACTTTTTAAAAGGTGACAGTTATTTTTATCAAGTACAATATTCGCCGAATCACTTCCAACAACGAATTTTGTTATCGTTAACCTTTGCTATAGCGATTTAAAAAAGTTTACAGAGGCGTTTTCACCTTCGATCCGACGTATTCGCCGGATTTGTTAAACTTTTGGCGTACTGTAGCCGTTTAACCCAGTGAAAATGGCTATATAAGGCCGTTTTGAGGACAGATTTTATCACAGTTGAGTTTTTACTACTGTAGTCAGCGTGTTTCTTGAGTTGACAATGGAATTCGGACAGGAAAACGAGAAAAGTGAGCAATATTGCGGATGCGGATATGCCGGTAAGTATAATGTCAAAAAATGTTTTTGAAACTAAAAAATTTTGTCCGCCATAGGCCCATTTTGCTATAAAAGCCTATTTAGAGACCTAAAGAATATTAGTCCACTTTTCATACTGTAACAAAATCCGTTGTGCGCTCAGTTTTCCGCAAAACAAATTTTTGAAAAATCAGTAAACAAATGATAAAACAAAGTTAAAAATACGTAGCCATAGGTACTAATTTGACTTTAACTCGCTTCTAATAATCACTCTAACCTACTCGGATATTGATTTAGACATCAAAATTGGAAATTTTTCAAAAATAAAAATCTTTCGTATAAAATGTCACCGCTGCTTCAGATTGTCCAGAATGCTACGACTACGGCTACTATTACTACTGAAAGCCGATTCCGACAACCAAGCCATACATTTTGGCTTTTTTCTTCGACAATGACCTGCATTTGAGTTAAAAATTTTATTGTAACTGTAGATTGGCCAATAAACTTTAGTAATGCAGTTCTGATACGATTTTTTCTGCTTTCTGTAAGTCAAAATCTATTTTTTCACCTATAATAAAACCAAAAAATATTAAGATATTACTTCTTCACATGTGCAATATAAAAATGTTAGAAAATTTATTTTTATAACTTATATTCACAAACAACGGACTATTGTACCCATTCACAAGTAAGATTAAGGCATAATTAGAAGCTGGCCAGGTATTGGAGCAGTTTGTGGGTGGTCTGTACCACAACATTCGATGACACATAGACGAAGGAGATCAAAACCAGATCGACCATGAGTTCCCAACCAATGTCCAGGATCACGCCGGCATTGATCACGATGTTGTCGTCCAGTCCAGCGGCCAAAAGGATATTCACCACGTAGCCGTGTTTTGGGTAGCGGAATTTGCGCTAAATTTGAAAAGGAATGGATAAAAAATGTGAGAAACTTACACTCCTGAACATGAATATCTCGTACGACAGCTGGACAAGAATTATGGGCCAGATCACATTGTTCAACAGATGATATTGGGCAAGAATCGTCAAGATAAGACCTAAAACAAAATCAGAACATATTTTTTTAATGTTACCCATGATTCCGACCAAATAGAAGCGATTTTTGTCCACAGAATCCCAGTACGTAGGCATCACAAAGTCCAAATGTGTAGAATTCAGCGATTCGTCACCAAGAACGGAGGACTGGAGCTTTGAGAAATCGATTTCCCCTTCATCTATCTCCTTGGCAGTTCTGGTGGAAGTTTGACTGGAATGTGAGGCGTTGAGTTGGGAATCTCGTTCAGCTGCGGTGGAAGGTTGTACTGGAGAAGGAGCGCCATCAATTCCTGGGGCTGCTCGTGTGGTACCTAAAATTATTTGAAATTAGATTAATTTTGAAGGTCTAGGACAAGAGGAAGGTTGAAATAGACGTAAAACAGCCTCGAATTTTGGTGCAACTCAAGCGAAAATTTGGAAAATACCTTGGGCCAAATTTCCAAACCAAAATTATCAAGAAATTGTAGGCTATCCAACAAAAACTAGCAATACAACACTGGTAGCCTAAAACAAGATAAAAATGCATAGTTTGCAAACGAAAAGCCTTCGAAAACACCAACGGTTGGGAAAACAGCAAATATGCGATCTCATCGACATTTCTCAATAAAAGCCAGCTCCCTTTAGTCTGTTTCAAAACCAAATCCCCCGATATTCCACTAGACACCTCATTTCAACCCGTTTTCATCTAAATCCTAAAGAACAGCAGAAAAACACAACTCACCATCTGGCCCGGATAACAACTTGTTCAGTCGAGATTCTGCGTTGTTCAGGATCTTTTGTTTTCTTCGTTCTCGGCGTTCCAATGCACTCAATGAGGCGCATTCTTGAATCGTGGTCGCCATTTTCGGCAGAATTCCGGTTTTCCAGGCCAAAATCAAGGTTCAAAGAGCAATTTCCCGTAGAATTTCAACAAGACCTGATGATTTCCTTGAGGCAAGAGGAAAATAAAATATTTTCCAGCAAATGTTGACGAAATGTCACAGAACTATTGACTGTTGCGAAGTGTCACGGTTTTATTGGATTTTGAATTCTGTTAGAAAATTGAAATTTTTTGGGCTGAAAAAGTAAGAAGACGAGGTTTCAAGTTAGATTTTGCGAGTAATGCACATTTTTGGCGCGTTTCCTTGTTTCTTTTTGACTAAAATAATGTAAAGAAAGCAAAAAATTTTTGTTGTAATGGAATTTTTTTGTAGAAATGGAATATCTTCGTAAGTTTGATCTACAAACTCGAAAGAGCAGTTTTTACTTATCGTATTCAGACTTTTCGGCTAGATGACCTCACTGAGTGTAAATTAATGTTTACTTTGCCAGCAAATAACAGGTTATGCTTTATGACGTGAAATCTAATATTATATTACAGTCGATGCCGTTAGGCGAGAAGTGCAGTGGCCTGGCACCAGTTTTTGTCATTTCCATGAGTGCAATAGCCATCGCCGTTGGCGACAAAGGAATGGTCGCCTTTGGGAAGGCAAATTACATTGAACTTTGCGCCAAATCGCTTGTACAGCGTTCCTTGGATAGCATAGGCGTTCGAGGTGGGGTCAGCCTCCATGTTCTGCTCCAGATAGGGAAGCCACTCGGTTTGAGGGCAGGGATTCTTTTCCTCGTTGTGGATTGAGGGGGCAATCAACTCGTTTTGAGGGCCCTGCTGAAGAATAAGATAGTTGATAAAAAAATTGTGTTTAGAGGTGATGGCATGGGAGTAGTGGGGTAAAATGACCTACAATCTCTCTCTTCTTTCGTCCACAACCGCATGCGGGCGGTGGCGGGGCGCAGCAGCCTCCGCCGCCGCCTCCGAAAAGATTTCCGCAAGCCTCGGCCTCCCAGGCCATGAACAACACAACTGCCAATGAAAACAGAGCCAACTTTGACATAATCGAATGTAGAGTAGTCTAACTATAGAGTAGAGCTTCTAAACTCCCTTCCGAGGCAGTTCAGCGTTAGCAAGTGTGGACTTTCCGCTGAGTTCGAACTTGATTTATATACCTATCCGCTTTCGCCCTTATTCTAATTAGGATGCGTCGGAGGAGGCGCTTAATCTTCACGCGAAACTTTCCGAGGGCTTTGGAGAAGATCCTGAAGAGTTTTTTCGCAAGATACCTCCATAATTTCGGCGCGCGCCGATGCCGGAAGGGTCTTACAATAACTCGGAAAAAAGGTCGAAAAGCCCATCCGTATTTTTCTCCGGAGATGAAGCGGATCCGCCCGGCACTTGAGGATCCGCAACAAAAAGTTGATTAGCGCTGTGGAGAGATACTCATCTGAGAAAATACGTTGCGGATGCACGGTAAGTGGTCCGTGGGGGGAAAGTTCAGGAGTTTCAGGCGGCTGGGGACCGATGAAGTTGAATCAGGATGATCCAAAAATGGGATGTGAGGAGAAATTGCGTCTGATTTTTATTTTTACAAAATTTATTAGGATTTTTAGATTCAAAAAGTTTTATGGGATTTTTTGATCAATACGTATGAAAAATTTTATGAAAAATCGGCGGGGATACGGCCAAAGTACCTTCATCTACCGCTCAAAGTGAAGGTTCGTCTTTGCGACACGTGTTGTTTAGTACTGCAATGGCCGTTTAAAATCTAATCCCTACATTCAAAGCAGCAAGTAGAGCTTCAGAAAACAACAATCAGCAGCTTTTTACGGCTGTACATCTAAAGCCTCTAGTTTTTTTACAAGGGTTATAAAACGTCTGTAATTTGGCGAGTCAGAGTACGAAAAGTTTCTTTAAACTGTTTTTCCGAAACCTGGGAAAATTCTCAAGTGTAAAGCAAGAAAATAATACAGTAAATTATACTGAAGCCTGTCATTATCTTCGTCGACTCTTCTTTTTCATAATGGAGCGTGGAGAAAGTTATCGGGTTAGGAATTGTCAAATTTGATGTTTAACGGGCCAGTCCAGTTATAATGTTTTTGAATCTACGGCTTATGAAACAAAATGTACAGGAAATTACTTTGCCTTTTGTACCCATAACAACAAAGAAAATTATGGTATCCTACATGTGTACTAATAATTATTATGCTGTGCAAAATTGGCCGGCTTTGTTTTAGTGGTCTGTCCGGTAAGTCATTGGACCGAAATCGGAGCCTTTTTGAGCAGCGCAAACGCCAAAAATCAGTCCAGCGACTTTCCGGAAGAACTAGTAGAAAAGACAAACTTTTTTGACATTTCGTGTCCCGCTCCGCAAATAGGAAGGTATTCCGAATACCACTCAATTCCTCCTTCTGGGACCGAAAATAGAGCATTACTGTGGGACATTCAATTTTTTCCCCTTCCTAAAAGGGCAACTAGTAGCTGTATGGCCTTTAAAATTTGACGAAGAAAATGTGTTCCAAGATTGCAAAGTTTACAGCACTCTATTCTGTGCACCAAAAATGCGTTTGGTTTTACGCTACATACCATCCTGTCGGGAAAATAATGTGGATTCGTAGCGCCCGTCATCGCTTTGTAGCGGCTGGCTGATGATTTGATGGGCGGCTGCGATGAGGCGAGACATTTTGCTACGGAAAGTCCACATTATTTTCCCGGCATACTGATATGTAGCGTAAAACTAAGGGCATCTTTGGCGCACAGAATAGAGTGCTGTAAGCTTTGCAACATTGAACACATTTTCTTTGTCAAAGTTTAAAGGCCGGCACAGCTACTAGTTGCCCTTTTAGAAAGAGGAAAACATTGAATTTTCCACCGTAATGCTCTATTTTCGGTCCCAGAAGGAGGTATTGAGTGGTATTCGGAATACCTTCCGGACACGGAGATGTCATGGCATTATCGGCTCGACCGTATGCCTCAAATTTTAATCCCAAATAAATTTGTCTCCTCTGGGATAATCATTAGCGGCGTGACGCTGGATGCGCGTCGAATTTCGTTCCTATTCTCGGGACCAACTTCACAGACGCCGCCGTTAAAGGGCAGATGATGTTTCGTTACAAAAATGGAGTCCTTCACGTATTCTGCAGATGTTGGAGAGTTTTGTAAGCGGATTATTGTACTTAAGATGAGGGATTTTTTATCTGGATAAAGTAGTTTTGACTCGGGTCGGGGAGCCTTACGTCTATTGGAGAAGGAGATGTTTTTACAAAGAATCGGGATGTTCCGTTCGAAAATGAAAAAAATACTGAAGAAAAACGTTTTTTCTCTGTCTGCTCTCCGCAGTTTGCGCACTCTCTCGTCAACAAAGATCTTTGAGCAACTCGGAGGGTCCCTGCAAAGTTCTGAGAGTCAAAACTGCGGCCACTTCTTTTGGAATTCGTATATTTCGTGTGGAGAATTTCACAGCAATAATTACAGACATTGGACTTGAACTCCTATGCCCGATTATTAAAAAACAAGTTCCGGGTTTGATTTGTGACATAGGATAACGCCGAAGTGTTACAGGGCATAATTTATGACGTGAAGAAGAGGAACAGGGCGTTTGATTTGTGATTCGTACTGTTCAAAGTACAGAAACTTGCAGAGGAAGTGCGACGCACGGAAATGACCATTTTTGGACCTTTTCCGATGGAAAACATCTTTGCTCTTTTTTCTCGCCTCTCCAAAGGAAGCGCTATTTTTGGTAAGAGAAGGGATGCAAGAGGATACATTTTGATGCATCGAGCTGGCATATGGATACATTGTTTTACACATAATCTCATCCGGAGTAGAAATGACTCAATGTCATCCCTCGCAAATGAGTTTGCTTCCGATTACTGTCTAATCTTGTAAACCCATCCGTTTTTAATCAAAATTTAGGATTTATCTTCGACAATATATTGTATTAAAATGGCGGTAAATGGCAGAGAAAGCTCTGACAAATCGTTCTTGAAAATCGGATTACAATTTCGGACAACTACAACCGGTCTCCAGACCAAACGAGGCCACCGTGTCCGGTCTGGTTCTCGGCAATCTCACCGGTTTGCTGTCTGACGCTTACGCGGAACCAAGATTAATCCGTAAACACATTGGTTTTCTAATTATACGTAAACATTCGAATACGTCTCTTGATGATTAATTTGCAGGTTCATAGACATGAGAGACGCAACCGGATTAACATTCCGCTCCTTTCTCAGATTGTAGGGTTAAGCCGGTGTTGCATAAAAACAGAGAGGGGAATGGATGTCACACATGTTTTTGGAAAATGCGAAAATATTGCGGCAATTGACGAATTTCGTATTACGGGGTTCGAGCTGCGGAGAGAAAGGACTTTGTGTTTTCGGAGGATGAGGGGGAAACCGGAGTTATCCGTGTTTGAAATTGCAAAAAAGACTTTATTAGGGATTTCAGAGATTTTGGGGGTATTAAGGTACGATACGATCGAAACGTTTGAATAAAACTGTAGGGGCCAAGAAATCTTTTGTTTGGAGAAGAAAAGTGTAGAGGAGATATTTAGGAGGGATTAGTCATCATTGAAATTTTATTGAGAGGGGTGGTACCCCAAGTGCGACGCTCAGATTTTCTTGAAGTTTTATCAAAATCTAAGCGTCGCACTTGGAGTGTACAAGGGGGGACCTGATCCAGTGGCAAAAGACGTACCATTTCGCGCCCAAAAAGTATCAAAAAATGTAGCAAAATACCTCCCTCTCCAAGTGAAAAAATCCGATTTCAAAAGCGCGCTATGTGAGGGAGAGGGCGCGCCCTTCAAAACGATGTTTTTCCACTTGGAGAGGGAGGCATTTTGCTACATTTTTTGGTACTTCCCGGATGCAATATGGTACTTTTTTTGCCGCAGAATCAGGTCCGCCACTGTACATGAATAAATTATATAAAAATACAAAGTTTTATTCGTCTTAAGAATCGAAGCTCCTGCTTTATAGGCGCAGATATTCAACAATCTTTACGGCGGAGAGGCCACTGAAAACGCGGAGCGTGTTCAGAGAGAAAATCACCTTTTGGCCATATCTTTGCCAGCTTCGTGCAGAAACAGTTTTTTTTTTTTTTTTTGAAAAAATCACCCTCTACGGTAGAAATAGGCAGAAACTTTTTATACCCAAGTTTGCAGAACAATGTTACCTTGAGTACAGTATCTACACAAGATTCTGCAAATGTCATCATTTCCGGAAGCGCTATGCAAAATCTCTCCACTCTCGAACCTCTCCCACTTTGACGCAATTTTTCGTGTGTCATAAAAAACATTTTTTGCATTCTCCCGCGAATTGCACATTTGCATTTTTTGCTTTGCGGATTCTCCGCCAATGTCGGTCGGAATTTTAAATCAACGTGTTTTGCCCCAGACGGTAGGCAAATTCATCGGAATTCTGAATTTTTGACGCGTTTTGTGTCTTCTGCATAATATGAATTTCAGTTTTGAAATATTGAAAAGTTTGGGCTGTTTTGAATAGAAAAATATGGGCGGTTTCTGTAAAACGTGAGCTGGAAATCCCACATTTTTTTAAGACAATTCTGATCTTGATGTACCTGTTTTTTAAGCGTATGTGGGCGTTAGTATGTATAGTATGTATAGTTCAGCTTATCGAATAAATCACTGGCTAAAACTTTTAGGGATTGACATGTGGCCTAGGGACAACTTATACGCGAAATTTTAAGAAAATCAGAGAGTTACACCTCAAGCAATTTTTTGTCTATCTTGTCTGACTTTAATTTTCTCCTCTTCTCCATGAAACCCCCTCGGACCCCAGAATCCATCCGCCTACAATTCTCCATCCACACTACACCGAAATGCCGCTGCACTTACGGCAATCTCTGATCCGGCGCTAACCCACATAGTCATGTCATAACGCTGGCGGTATCAGGTTTCTGCAAGTTTCCAGAATGGGAAATGAGAAGCCCGCCCCGCGGGGATGAGATCATTTATTCATATTATGCTCTGTAAGGGCTCGCTGGCTTCCTGTTCTTCATGGTTTATACATGATCGGTATAGTAAAGAGAGGGGTTTCGGTT